GTCTTCTGGTTTGTTTGGGGACTTCAGACACTTCATTTTTTTTTTTTTTTGAATGAAATACAACAGGATGTCACTTCATCAGTCATGTAATAGGACATGTAACCCAGCCTACTTTATTAAGAAATAAACATATAATAGATGTGACTCAGGAATTCTGAACTGTCAATGTAGCAGATTATAATGTACTTTACTTTTATTATCTTTTATAGTTTAGGCAGGCCAGTGTAACAAACTGTTCTTTGTGTGGTTGTGTTTTGGTTTGGGGTTCTCTTTAGTTATTTTCTGTGAAAATTCTAATATTACGGCATATATTAAATTCTTTACAACAAGCAGCAAAATAAGTTTTCCCACCTAAGAAGTATTTCTGCATGCATGTGAAATATTTGGCACCTTATGATATTACTTTGCAGAAAAATATACATTTAGTATATTTAGCCTATTAGCAATAGGACTAGATCTATTTAGTATTGAACTGTACGATAAGACATGAAATAGTCTGACATGCATCAGCTCAATTAGAAGTTACATGGAATGGAAGAAATTGTGACAAGACCCTTGAAGGAATATTAAAACATCTTATGAAAGAAAGCTTATATTGAAGTCTAGTTTCAAAACTGGCAGCAACAGAATCATATAATCTTTTATTTTGGAAGGGATGTCTGGAAGTCACCCTTTGCCTGAAGTGTGGTCAATTAGAGCAGGTTTTTCAGAGCCTTGTCTAGTCCAGTTTTGAATATCTTCAGGGCTGGAGATTTTACAACCTCTCTAGGCCAATGTTTAGCTACCCTCTGTTCTTCAACTCCAGGGTTCCCTAATTAGCACATGATTCCTGTTGGAGATGTAGACGCTCTAGATCTGTGTGTACTTGTGCTGTTCTCTGCAATGTCTTAATGCACATACTGGTGAGAGCGCAACTCACAAGCTCACATTCATGTGCCTAAGGTGTGGGTTCTCCTCCTTTACTGCACCGTGTACTGACCACCTGCTAGCTGCAGAGCAGGACCTTGCATCCTCCAGGAGGGATGCTGTGCTGTCTGACCTGGACAGAGATTGTTATGCAGTTGTCAGGGTGACTTCTGGCAGTGTCAAACCAGGTTTTGACTGATGCTGTTTCTTCTCCAAGGTCTCTCCTACTGGTACAGACTTTCATATTTTTTTTTTTATGCTTCTTTGCAAGAGGGCTCCTTTATTTCTAATGTTTCTTTCTAAATCCCCAGTTACTGTTTAGTCTAACTGATGATCCTCTTCAACATGAACAGTTTTGGGTAACTATCCTGTCAGACAATTTTGCATATTTGATTCACATGTACAAAAATTCCTATCTTTACATTTGTTATTATCCAGATCCTTTTGCCAAGGGTGGGCCTTGCAAGCACCCCCCAACTACATCCCCTGCATCACTAAGGAATGGCCCTACAGTTTTCTTAGTCTTCATTTTGTTCCCAGTGTTCTTAGAGTAGCCTTTCTCTTTGTCCTTATCAGCCTTTGCTAGTTTTGATTTCAGCTGAGCTTTGGCTTTCCGAAGTCATCCTCGTATGTGAAGGTAACATCTCTGTATACCTTCTTGGTAATCTGTCCTTGCTTCCTGCTTTCGGTTTGGGCTCAGTCAGGAGTTATGTGTTCATCCTAGGTGAGAAGCGTGGCAGATGGCCGGCAGGGATGCGACACTCGCCTTTTTCCACAGTGGCTTTGGCACAATTATGCTACAGTGAGACTGACATAAAGTATTTTTTGCTCATTTAAAGCATCAGTGTCTAATTTTAAGTTTGTTACTCTATGTATATACATTAATACTTATTGTTAGTCTGAATATAACTATACTAAAAATAGCTATATAACCTATTACATTCCATTCCCCAAATCAGTCTGCCAGCAAAGAGAGTCTCACTGAAGTGACAAAACAAAGTTGTTTGCCTATTAGAAAGAAGTGGTATGTTGTTTAAAGGATGCCCACAAATGCAGTTCAAGTCTGTTATGTGCCCTTATTCTGCAGTTTTTACTTATGTGGTAAATATTTAGTTAAGAAATACAACTCTAAACATACACATGAAAACAATTTCATTTCATGCTTAGTGACCTTTTTTTTGTAGATAGGTTTGAGTTGTGTTGCTTACATGAACTGATTTATTGTAATAACATAATCTCTTGATTTATTTTTTTTCCCCTAATATATAACCTTGTGAAAACCTTCTGTAGTAGGGGAGTATTATTTTACGTGTTGATGCAACTTCTACTTTGGGCCCTATCTTGGTTTTAAGGAGGAAAAAACAAATGAAGCCAGCCAATAAGAATTAATGAAGAGAGATGCAGATTTTTGGAGACATTTCTTCCGAGTGTGGGCAGCTTTACTGTCCTACCTCCAAGACGCATCCCAACCTCTGATAAGAATGAGGCTGGAATCTTGTATTTCTTCCTGAAAGTGGGCTGCTATCTAACAGCAGAATTAAAGCCAAAAAAAACAAACAAAAAATTCATCTTGTGGGTCAGTAACAAATAAATTGAACCATGAGCCACAGGCAGATGGTAAAAACACTTCTTGGCAGGTGAGTCCTGTCTGTTGGTCCAAATGCCTATATTTTATCCAAACACTCTGCACTGCAAAATGAATGAGCAGCCTGTGGAAGAATGGATGGAATCCAGGGGGGTACTTATGTCCACCCTTCTACATCAGGAGTGTGTTCATTACTGGATGATAGAACTGCATCTTCTCTGACCCCTTCAAATACTGTGAGTTTATTTCTCTACTACTTATCTGCAAACTCTCCTTTGTGGATTTTACACAATGGACTTGTGCACCTGCAGTACTGAGTATGTTTAGTTCTGGTCTTAGAATGGCAACTGGAAATGAAATCTAGTTTCAAGTCTTTGATGTCTTTTCCCTCATTAGAGGAGGGAAATATTCTATTTGCTAAGCACATAATGAATAGTAAAATACCTGCAGAATTTGAAACAATAAAAGACTACCTGCCTGCATGGAAAAGAGAGGACTAGTGGCATAAAGTTGCAGGGAGGTGGGGGAGAAAAAGTGTAGAAGCTAAAACACAAATAAAGATAGCTGTGATGCTACTTGATGTCTTTGAGTGCCAGAGAGTACCCCAGGATGTTTTGGCTTTGTGGCTGCTGTATAAAAATAACAAAGTAAAAAAAAAAAAGGTACTTGCACAAACCCCCCACCCCTGTTCTCACGTTCTTTTTTCCAGTTTGATTAAATTGCAAGGAATTCTTGAACGTTTGCTGATTATCATAGAATGATTTGGGTTGGAAGGGACCTCAAAGATCATCTAGTTCCAACCCCCTTGCTGCGGGCAGGGACACCTTCCACTAAACCATGTTGCCCAAAGCCTCATCCAACCTGATCTTAAACACTTCCAGGGAGGGGGCATCCACAACCTTTCCGGGCAACCTCTTCCAGTGCCTC